ATATATATATATATACAGTAAGTAGCTCATGTTGCGCAGTTTGTCTAGACATTTTTTTTCTTGAGTTATTTCTAATATTAAAGTGACAAACACCCGTTGTGGAATGTTTTCAAGTTGGAATATGTCACTTGTCACGTAAAAAATAGAATAAAACATTTAATATGCTTCGATAGTGCTTACAAGCTAAACAGAAAAAAAAGTCATTATCATCTAATCAGTAAATATATATATAGTAAGTAGTTAATGTTGGATATTTAACGTATTGATTTTTGCTTTCATTAGTAATATTGTACCAGGGTAAATGACCCTATTTCGAGCCTGTTCCAATTATCGAGGTTCTGAGCTATCATTACAGAAATATTAATAAGAGGTTGATGTACACGAATAAATTATTTTTTGTACGAATTTATTGAATAATGTAACCTACGAAACTCTGAAAGTTTAACTCACTGATACTTTGACGTTTTAACACGTAAAAAGTGAGGTTGCGTCATCAAACTACAGTGTTCTTGTGATCTCTTAACCGAAAGCTTAAGGAGATGCGTATTTCACTATCGTCTAAAAAATTTACTGTCTTGATTACATACTCAATATAACGGCAATATCAAAATACTTTGTAATTATCTATTACTTTGAAGAAAACTCATCAATTTTCATAAATATGCACGTAAATTCATGTATAAACAGTCAAGAAGTCAAATAAAAATTTTTTTATTTAATCGATACTAATTATTGACTTTTCAATACAGAAAAATGTAAAATTACAGTAAATTAGGTAAACTATTGATATTGATTCAAGCCACAATAAAGTAATTTAGTATGATTTTAATATTACACGAGTTTCCTGAAAGTTTTCCTTGGACTGTCAATAATGGCTCTCAACGTATTATTGTATTATTTACCTTTAATATTGTCTATAATTAATATTGCCCATTAAAATATTAGATGTTTTTAAAATTATATAATAAGATGATGAAAAAAAGTTATGTTTCGGATGGAATTTGTTAACAAAGTCCATTTTTATTGACGAATTTTTTACGCTTCTTCAAAACATAAAATTTGTGTTGAAAACTTTTTACTGATGATAGAAGATTATAAATCAGTTTATGTATAAAAAGTCAGGGAGGTTAATTTAAACATTTTCAACTTGAACCTGGACGTCGCGATTATTAACTTACTTGAACGGACCATCATGATGAACGTGATATTGCGATCTTCGAGGAAGTATTTGAAATACTTACATAATCATGCTTCATACCTGGTAGTAAGCTCTCGAATATAGGCGCTGTAGTTGCATTGGGCATCACCGAACTTTAATGAAAAGAACCCAAGAGCCGCCGATGAGCTGTTCCATATTGTACAAAAATGGTCCAAAATGGTCCATTCGCTTTTTGTAGAGCTTTTGTGAATGTAAGCACATAGAGCTTGGATACCAGCCGCATGGAGCATACAGTAGAACGTGCCCAAAAGTAAGACGGTGTGACAGTGTGATGCGTGAGTGAGATCAGATTTAATCGGATTGAAACACAAGCCTTACACTTCCATACTCTACTAGCGGCTAGAAAAATTATCTGGCCACGCGGGGCCACACATCAGCGACGAGCGATGGAACGTAGAGGGGAGAGCTGCTGACGTCACGTAGATTCCCACGAGCTCTTGAGTACTGAGACCGAGAAACCCCAGTAGTACAATGGTTAAGGCTGCAGTTCTTGTAGTTCGAGGACACGGTATTCAAAGATGTATTGTCCCTGGACGAAAATAGATTGAAAGTGGAATACGCCAGGGATGAAGAAGATACGCTTTAGTCTCGGACTAATTTCAGAATAGAAGTAATACGAGAAAGAGGGGAAATTACGAAAAACAGACGATTACAACCAGCCCAGAATACAAGGGCCTCGAAGCTTCTAGAAGTTCAAAGATAAAT